CAAACTGCGCTATCAGTTCATCTGCTCCATGGGCTGGAACACTCGGGTTTCCARGGAGGAGTGTGAGGAGGTGGGTGGTGCTGTGTGTGCTTGTGGAGGGAGAGGGATGGGCTGACTGGAGAGACACAGGAAGGTGGGTGGCTGCAGGTGGGCTCTGGGGAGGAGAAAACTCCGATGGCTGTGCAGGGAGGGAAGGATTTCCTGGGCAGTCTTCAGTTTTTTTTTTTTTTTTGTGTGGGGGGGGGGGTGGCTCGGAGGTTTGTTAGTGAATAAAATGTGTATCTCAATTTACTGTATACCATCTAACAAAAATTTGGTGGAAATTTATCAGATATATATAAGTGATTCAAGTAATAAAAGAAAGTCTCATTTCAAGAAAATGAAGTTCTTGAGGAAAAGTAAAGTACATTAAAAATGTAAAGACAAGTCCAATTTCTATGCAATAAGGGAATTACAGTTTAATAAAGCAGAGTCAAGTGATTTTTTTACATATGTATCTTTGGTCTTTAATATATATTTGTGTATAGATAGATCTAACCATTGTAAACTATGGTTTATTTTGAAGGAAGTGGATAAATGAGATGAAAGGAATCTTTATACTAGACTAAAATTATTCACAAAGCAGAACATTTTACAGTGAAATATTTTTTCATTCATAGAATTTTTACACAATTGATTTCTACTTTGGATGTAACTAAAATTACAGTTTAATTATTTGTCTAGAACACTGAGATGTACTCTTTAGTTTAAAACAAAAATCATACCAAAATTATTCATCTGCCAGTCTTATAGTCATGTAAAAATTATAATAGGGTTTCAGTGATTAAAGATACATCTAACCATGTAACTTAAAAGTTTTTTTCATGTACTCAAGCAAAAACTTCACTACATTAAACCATTATTCTATTCAAATCAGAGACAATGATAAAGCTGTCTCTTGATAAAATCAAGTTTCCAAATTTGATTCAATGGGACACCAAAACCACTGTCTCTGTCAAAGCATCTTTACAAAATTTTCCACACAGGTAGCATTAATTTAGTTGTCTAATATAAAATAGGAAAATATACTCAATTTTTATTGAAAAGAAAGCTGAAAATATGATGTCCCACATCTTACATAATATGCTCCTAATATACAGCCATGTTAGTAATAAGTAAAATAATGTTGTGATATCCATATTTAGCTACTTCATTTGTCACCAGGCTAAATAAATCTAATAATTACACCTTGATAGCTGACAGAACTTAGTTAATAGAATCAAGCCTCTCAACATTTAAGATATTTGTAGACTGCTGAATCATAGTAACTAGAAAGAAGAAATTGTAGCATTGTGTATAGTTTTTTCCCCACAATTCCTGACTCAAATCAAAGTGAACTAATTTTAAGGAATGTGAAAATAGATTAACCATGACTTCAAAACACTCAATATCTTGTAAACTTATCAGCTTTTTGGGGGGCTCTTTTTCTTTCCAGATTCAAGCTTATAATCCTGAGCTCTGGGTGTGGAGCCGAGATCGCACTCTTATTCCCTAGAAGACCCGGAAGAATGGAGGCCTGAGGGGAGAATCAAAATTCTGTATCTCTGGCCTTATGACAGAGTCACTGATTGTCTATTTATAATGCTCAAGGACCTAGCCTCTCGATCCACTCCTTTACACCTCCACTCATAGTCACTGTGTGCAGATGGTGAAACAGACTGAATCCAAGTCAGCTTCATGGTCTCAAACCCCAACCACACAGATGAGCTTCTATATGTGCTGAGTGCTATGAGGCTACTCAGCCACACCTGAGAAAGAACAGCTTATCACACAGGATGTGCTAGAAATCCTTAACCCAGACAAATTTGGCCCAAATGTCAGCAGTGGTGAAAGGCTGATCTTGGTCTAAAGTGAATGTCCTTTAGCCATGAATATCTCACTTCCCTGTAAATTGTCTTTTTACCCTTTCCTTTTAATTCATCTTGGGTCAAGCATCTCTTAAGGATACCAAGCATGAAGATGATTTATTTATAGGATTATCATAGTTTTAGTATATATAATAAATGCTTATTTTGAACTATGTTTATTTTAAATTGTTTTGAGACATATGTTGTTTGGAAAATTGTTGTTTCTTATTAGTTTTGTGATGAGTGTATAACAGGTTTGTGTACATAATTATTTCTCTGAAGTTTTTAATCTTTTTATCTATTTTATGTATTACTTTTAAACCTCAGTGGTATTACCCCATAGTCTTATAAATATAAATTTTCATTTGATGTTCAATCATCATTATTGTAAATATCAAGCTGCTGTTATGTAACTTGGATTGACATGTTTTTCTGTCATTTTAAAGTATGTATTGTAAGATAACACATGTGCTATGTACATTTTTTTTTTTGGGGGGGAGCTATATGCTTTTGAAGAGCACAGCATTTGTGGGGAAACTGAATAAAGTTGAGAATCTTCTTACCTTAATGATGCATCCGATCATGACATTCTGGATTGTTTGTTTGCTGACAAATGTTACTATTGTTTAACAGGGTTGTTGTTAATTGACCAAATTTCTTACCTGTGGGAGGAAAACACCTCAATTATTTTTCACGTCTGAAAACAACAGAGAAGGTTGCAGAACTTTATACTAGAGACTAGAAGCAGGAAACACAGGGAGAACATTGAAAGAGACAACACAGAAGAGTGAAAGAAAATTCTAGGAGAGCTGTAAAACAATCTAAATCCAAAATCAAGAAGAGGCATCTCAACAGGAGATGCCTTCCTGGTAATGGTCCAAGGATGGGGACACACAGGGACTGGTAGACTTTGCTACTGGAGTCACAGTTTGAGTTTTTTCCACAATCTATTTCTAGTTTTACATAACAGAAGGAAACCCAAAGGGTCTTGTTTGAAATAGAAACTGGTGAAGGGAAATGAAGGTACTAGGGCAAGTTGTGAGAAGAATGAGATGATAGGAAGAGCTCAAGCTGGTAAACAGATAGGCACAGAGAGGAAAGGGCTAACAGTGTAGGCACTGAATGACTGCAGACAAGCATCTTGGGAGATGGGAACTTCAGAGAATATGGAAGCAGCTGTGGAAAGAAGCAGGTGAAGCAAAGTGTCAGAAGGAAAACAAAGCTAAAGAGAGGTGGCAACAGAGCTAGTGATGAGATGTGATGTGGGGTTAGAGGCAAGTGGAGATGATGTGAAGAGGCTGGAAAGTACCTACATGAAATGAGCTTAAGGCTGGTTGAATGTGTCAAAAGAGGAATGGTGGTTGGGTGAGTGGAGCAACTGAAGAGGTAAAAGTTCACTGAAGGAAAAAGTCATTAAAGACCAGCACTGTGCAATGCAATTCTGATGCTGATCAATTGCATGGAGGTCACATGCTGCAGGTTGAGGCCCACTCTACACTGCCCTGTCTTCAGAAACCAGTTGTAAGCTGTTTCCCAGGCTACTCGCACTTCTCACCAACGACTGCATATTCGGGGAATCCCACGATAGTATTTTATAATTCTCTAAAACTTCTCACTGAGATTAAGAGAGCACAAATCCTATAATTACTGTTTTGTCATGTGGAAAAGGACACAAATTGGCACCAGCTAAAAGAGGCACGTGGCTGAAGGTCTAGGAAGGTCTGAATGAAAGCTGTTATGTCCTTAGGATGCAGCATCTTCAGAGGACATTCGATGTATATGACCAACCTGGGAAGCTGACCTTGATTTCAGTGTCCAGAGTTTTTACTGGAATTTCACTAAGCATTTGGTAGGAGTGGGATGAGTAGAGCGATAAACCAGGCTCAGGTCCTGCCCTGTGGGTGCTTACCATAGAGTGGGGGAGACAGGCGAGTGTCCAGGAAAGAAGATGAGGGAAGAGGGTGTGGATAGAGACAGGGGACATCATGACGTCACCCACACAGTGTGAGGGTGGCACCAGGCAGCGCCAGGGTCTCCAGAATTGTTTTGTCTTCTGGATTACCGCGTGCCAGGCACCCTTCAGAAGTCCCTGACCAGTAAAAGGCCCATCTTGGTTAATGCTGGGCGGGCAGGCACCGGACTCCCAGTCCCTGGGCCCACCGGAAATAGGTCTGTCTCGGCCCACCTCAGTGGGCCTTCCTTTT